TGGGAAGTGAGTCAGTGTCTCCCCTGAGTTATCAAAATTCGCAACTAACGAATCAGCCGTGGTCTGAAGGGACACTGCCCTTTGAGGCATCCATGGTCTGCCTGGGAACGAGCAGACTGGCTGTTAGGCCTGTGTCCTGTAGCAAAGAACTGAATCTGTTTTCATGAAAAAACTAGTTTGTGTCCTGGGGATTCCAACTACGGAATCAGAAGGCTTGGCTTCTCCTAGTCTCAGTTTCCCCTTTGTGAGATGGTGTAGAATGCCTCTGTGGTGCTGTTGGTGCTGATCTGTCATTCAAACGAGGGAGATGTGTTATTGATGGCAGCTCAGGGTGGGTCATAAGGGCCACTGCTAGCCCATGAGATGCTTTTGTTTAATTAGAAAAAGGTACTTTTGTTTCTGGAAGCCCTGCTTCTTCCTGTCATAGAACTGTTGGCAGTACATAGTCAGCAAAGCCCAGTGGTCCTCTCTGGTGGTCTCTGAAGGGGAGTGAGGGAGGCTAACTTTTTTTTTTTTAATTATTAACCAATTATTTACTGGATGCTTTAGTAGAGGCTTCTGGAACAGTAAAGCACACTCCAGCCACCCTGAATATTGTTAAAATGCAGAATATTGTTAAAATGATTCAGGGGGCCTGTGGGAATTGTCCTGCATTTCTGTAAGCTCTCAGTTGCTGCTGCTGCTGGTGGGGCAGGGACTACATTTTGTAGAGAGATATTTGAGTGTCAACTTGTGTTTGCTGTTAAGTGTTTTTAATCTAATGAAGAGAGATGAACTAATGCACCACAAATGATGACAAGACAGTGAAGTTAAAATGAATGTGCTATTGACACCTATTGAGGTTTAAAAGAAAGGGAGGAAGAGCCTGCAGGCTAGCACTTGCTAGCAGGCTCCAAAGAAGCATTGCAGACTTGAAATCCCAGCCAGGTCCAGCAGAGGAGGTAAAATCTTTCAGGATAACCACTTGGGGTGTGAGTGGACCCCTGTCCAGGTGTCTCTCTGCTGCAGGACTTGATTTTGCAAGCTTATTGCCCTGATAGGTACAGGATAGCACCATCCAAGAAACTCTCAGGTAGCCATGGTGTGTGAGTGGGGGATTTAGCCCATTTTCTAGTTATTAGAATCACTGGCTCAGCTCTGTTATGTGCTTGTAGGATAAGTTTGAGTCTTAAGTGGTTCTAAAGGGTTTGGACCATTGGGTTTCTTTCTTTTTTTCTGGCTTTGTTTTTTGGAGGTCCCTTAGATTTTTATTCCTCCTTCTTGTGCAGTGTTTCTGGAAAATCCATATATCTTGAACATCCATGAAAAATCAATTTTAACTTCCATGATACTAATTAAAAGCTGGCCTCTGGTGTTGTTGATCAGAGATGCTTGGATCATAGAATTTGAAATGTGAAATTCTGACTAGAGTTTTTCAGATGGCAACCAGCCACCCCTTCAGGGTACATTCTATCCAACATCCTCCTGTTCATTCACTGGATCCGGTATGTAAAGTAAAGCTAAGGCATTCATACTACATTATCTGCTTTGCGGTATTTTGAATCTCAAACAGTATAACAAGAAGACATAATGTTTCAAGCTTTTAAATATTTTAAAATTCTAATAGCCATGCATCCTCCTTGTATAAAATTTAAGAAAAATACCTATGTATTGAAATTACCCGTATCACTTAACTAGATATGTCTTTTAGCACTTAAGCCTTTTTTGCATATCTATAGATATGTAGATATTTATACATGTATATATAATTTATCACATTGCGCTGAATTGCAGTTACATTTTACTTTCAGCTTTGAATTCTGCTTTCGTGGCTTTTAACAGATCATGATAATGCTAACTGAAAATAAAGTCTCAGTGATAGTTAGACAGAGTTCATTAAATAGTCAAAATGAGGATTCAAACCCCGGGAACATTGCCACAGGTTTTACTCTGTGAGCGCTGTTCTAATCAACACCAGGTTGAATTTAGTTTATGTAGGTAGGAACAGGAGCCATGGACATTATTAATGTAATTCCTGATAGTTGGGCTTTCTAGTTCCACTTTGCCCTCCCCTAAAGATATGCTGATGGTAGAGGAAGACTATGCAGGATTTAATCCCTCGCTTTCTGGGGAATGCCCTGCAGACATGCATAGGTGGGTCCTCCTTGTTAAATTATTATTTTTTTTAATCTGCAAAGACTGACTTTACCTTCGGGCTGCAGATTTCCTTATACAGGATGGAGCCTGTGAACATGGCTTTTCTCTCTTGCCTGCTAAAGCAAGGGTGGCTCTGCCAAAATTTTACATTATGTTTACAGTGATTTCTCTGATTCCTCATAAATGTGAATTTCATTGGTTAAGACAGATGGGAGGAGACACAGGGATTACATCTTTAGTAGGAGTGACTAAAGGGAACTGCATGTTAGATTTGAGAAAGGTGCATTTAGAGACCACACTTAGATCCCCTGGGTTAACTAACAGGTGGACTTGGGTCCCTATCACCAGCCAGGGGCAGGTTAGGGATTGGTTTGCCTAGTTAATGCATCGATATTTGAGCATGCTTAGGATGTAATTTCCAGCCCACCTCCTGTTCCTTCCTTCCTTTCTTCTTGTGTTGATTCCTGTATTGACGTCCTGAAGTAACTTTTGATAGAAATTGAGATTTTTTTCCTTCAAAATGTGCTTTTAGTGCACAAGGGTGTCATTTAAAAGTCAAATCTATGAAGGAATATGTTTTACCTGCTGGGTTTAATTTCAGATGCCAGTGTTATCATAAAATGCAAACCACTCTGGACTCTGTTTTAAAACTTGGTACAAATTGTGCCAGTTGAAATGAACTTCTGCAGATGGAGAGAAGAAAGGTGGAAAATAAGTCTTTTAGAGAGATTTCTTAGTGCTATTTAAATATTAATGCCATTTGAATTCAGTTCCATATATATTCCTGCTTTTTCCCAAAAGTCTATATTCATCTATAGCTTTCAAATTATATTTGCCCTTTTTTTTTTTTTTCAGAATGAGAGTAAATAAATATGAGATATTGGACCCTGGGAGGAAAATAGTCATAAGATTCAATATTAAGGATTTAAGTTAGATGGAGATGTCCCTGGTGAAGGTAGTGGGAATCCATTAACTTATTAAAAGACAGCAGCCCTGGGGGCTCTGCCTCTCGCATGTGTGACTGTGACCTCTGGCCAGTTAATCAATCTCTCCAGGCCTTAGTTTTCTCGTGTAAAATGGATGGAGGATCACCTCTGCCATGTGGTGGGTGAACCTTTGCTGATCCGACCCCTCAAGGACTCCCCTACTTAAGCCTCATTAGCAACCCTTCAACAAGGGTATGGCTTCCTTCTATAGATGAACACAATGAAGTTTCCAGAGGTGGGATTTGTCAGGGTCTCAGCTGTGGCATTTGGATCTGAATCCAGATTGTGTGATGGCACAGACACTCCCCTCCACAGGATCCCCCCCCGCCCCCCTCATTCTTAGTGACTAGAGGAGTTTGCAGGTAGAGTTTGCATCCCATGCTTCCAAAGCAAAACGTCCCTAGGAGGGCTTTTTTCAGGTCAACATTCTTTGTTTAAAGGGATTTTTCTTTTCTTCTTCTTCTTTTTTTTTTTTTTGCTTTTACTTTCTTGTCCATACCCTCCAGCCCTGTGATCTTTCATCTGTTTCAAAAGAGGGCCATTTAGAAAATCATGTCAAATTGGCTGCAGAAACCTGGGTTGATAGTTGAGATCAGCTCCATTAGGAGTTGATGGCTGGCGACTTGCTGAACACAGACCCCTGAAGCTTGAGGGCCACCATTGGTGAGATCCCATTATCTCTTCAGCAGAAAATCATCTGGCCCCTGCAGGTGTCTTAGGGAACGCAAGGTGAACTGGATGGAAACACCAGGGCCTGTGGGCAGAGAAGACATTTCTCCCAGACTGTCGACAGAGAGGACTCAACGTGGGACTATCCAGAGGGACACCCCAGCCAGCCACTTCATGGGCATTTAATCTTTGGGAAGCCAGTGCCTGTTATGGCAGCTGGGGGTTCTGGTGTGTCGGGGGCAGGCTCACTAGTACTCCTCTCTCTACCGACATCCTGTGTGACATCTATATTAGGAGGCGGGTGGAGATGAGATTGCATGGTCTGTTGGTTATTTAGTCATTTATAAGTCACATGGCTTCCTGGTTCAGTACCCAAGTGAAGGAACGACCGTGGTCTCTCCTCCATCTGGATTGACCTGTCTCTGCCTCTTCTGTTGAGGTCTGAAGACAGTCCCTCGGCTGGCTGGTGACAGGTTATCTCCGTATTCTCCATTCTCTGCACGGTTCAGTGGTTTCCATGCTTTTCTGGACATCTTCCCCATCAACGGTCCAGACTATTAAGACAGTGCCCATTGTTGTAGCTTTTCAACTGTGATAAGATGGGGCCTCCTGCAGGTGACACTGTGACTGTCTGGTCTCTTTTCTTTGGGCCTGCTGCCTATCACCCCAGCATCTCCTGCAGCTCTCTGCCTGGAACTCGGGGGCTGCTCTGCCATCTTGACCACACACGGTCACTTGGTATCCTCATTTGTCCTTCTCTACAGGCCCATGCAAATCCCAGTGGTCACTTTCTCCTAGTTACTGTGGATGTTTTACCTTAGTCTCTTTTCTTAGACTGTGTCCCTTGGAGCGACCTTCTTCTACCTTTTTTTTTTTTTTTTTTTGAAAACACAGTACCTGGTTAGTGCTTCCTCCCTAAATGGTGCTAATGAAATGCTCTTTTAGTATGTGTCTTAGTTCAGACTGCACAGGTAACCTCTACCATAAAATACGCATATGTTCATGCATGTGCAAGGCGGCAAGAGAGCAAGCCCTTACAACTTGGATCATCCTTTATTTATTCTTTTAAAGAGCTGTCTCATTTTTGCTGGATTCAAGATGCCATCATTATCTCTTGGGATAAAGGGTCTATAAGATATTTCTCTTCTGCAGTGCACATCCACTTGCAGTGCTAAGAACTTAGCCCTTCCTCTTTGCTTTTCCTTTCAGAGAGTATTATGAGGGAGGCCGAGGACTTGATGCATCGGCGCTGCGAGTAGGGATTGCCACGTCTGAGAGGATGCTGGGAATCTGCAGAGGGAGACGGAAGTTCCTGGCTGCCTCTTTGACCCTTCTCTGCATCCCAGCCATCACCTGGGTTTACCTGTTTGCTGGGAGCTTCGAAGGTAAGAATAAAGTGTCCAGAAGTGGGAGGGGAGGGAGCGAGCCTCAGCCATCAGCCAATCCTGAGCCCCGGGAAGGGCCTCTAAGCCACTGATGAAAAGAGGATGTCAAAGAAACAGCTTGTCAAAGAAGCAGCTGCTGGGGTTCCGAGGTCTTTGGGGGGTGGGGAGGAGTCAGCAATGTGAGGCGAGAAAGATAAAACCAAAGCAGAACAGGGTGCATGTGGGTGCGTCTCATGACGGAGGCGCCACAAATGTCAAATGCCAGCTGTGCTGTCTCTCACAGTGACAGTGACAGGGAAAAGGTCAGGCCCTGGAGGGGCCGCTTAGCTCTTCACAGAGCCAGGTGTTTCTTGCATCCTTCCATTTACTCGTGTATTCACACCTTCCACGTATTTGTTGTAATTGTTGCTGGTGGTTGTGCATTGTCTGTACACCAGGTGCTGAGAAAATATGGTGATAACGGAGACGGACCTTCTAGAACTCGGAGGAGGCAGGCGGGGTTCCCAGTGCGAGTCTGCGGGGTGCTGGGGGAGAGGGTGCTGCAGCCCGCAGCCTGGACTGGGTGTGGAGGGCGATAAGTGTAGTGCAAGAACGCAACAAAGGAATTGCCTTCTCTAAACAACTCAAAACAAATGCTCCTCCCTGCTGCTTTCCAGCAATCGGTAGAAAAGACCAGACTTGCCATTCTTCCAACCAGCAATTTTAAATGCGCTGTGATGTTTTGCGAATCAAAGATGATTTTCTAAGCTTCAGGGAGGGAAGCAACGACAGTGTTGAAGAGCATACTTTCTTTTTATTTATCCCCACACTTGAGTTAAAAAAAAAAAAATCTCAAATGAAAATCTGTCTCAAGGAAGTCACTACTGTGTTTTTAAACATTTCCTTTATGCATAATTTTATTGACAGCTCAAGGCTACCTTTTAATTAGGAGTTCCACTTCACTTTCTGAGATTTGCCCTGAGTTAGCTTGACTGAATATAAACGAGGTGGAACTCTGTGCCTGGGTGGTAGGGCTGGGACGGTGCCACACCCCTGTAACTTACTTTCCTGCCCTCCATTCCCTGAAATCCTGCAGCTTCATCTAAATGTTCCACAGTAAATTATGCCGCAGCTGCTGATGGCTGATTGTTGGCAAACGGATCCGGGGAGGAAGGTGGTTGGTGTTGATCCTAGAAGAGATACAGGAAATATTCTTTCTGGGATGAGGAAAGAGTGCTTGTAAATGAAGGTCAAGAGCATCCAGTGCTAGTGCAGGTTTAATACATTGGTTTTTGGTAACATAACTAGAGTTGTAATCAGAGTCATGATAATAATAATAACAGCAACGCAGGTTAATAATGCAAACTCCTGGCACTTTTAGTATTTCTGCACACTGGGCATTATATTGGCTGTAATGTGCCACAGTAATCCTATAAAGAGGGTCTAAATGTGGAGGGAGAGTCAGATGAGCCTCAGTCATCCGCCCCAGGTCCCAAAGTCAGTCAAGGTGGGGTCTGGATTGTCCTTGAGAGCTGCAGTGTTTAACTACAATGCTGTGCTGCAGATTGGAACCTCAGTGAGGTAGAGGAATTGGCAAGGGATTTTGACAAGGTGTCCCATGACTTTTTGGGGTGCCTGTGAAGGAAATTACAAAATTTTGATATATTTTTCTCATTGATAGAAATCCAACCCAAAATGCTTTTGCTTAAGATAGGAATTTGGGAAGTAATGACACCCATGAGTTCTAAGGTAGAGCAGGCTTCAGGACAAGTTTGATCTAGCTTCTTTAATGATATTTGTGTAGCTCAGTCTTGCGCCATCCCTTTGCTCTCTTTCTATCTTTGGCATGGTTTCTTTCAGGGTAGATTTTGTGCTCAGAGGAAGTTTTTGCTTACCACTCATCTCCAATCTCTGTGGGAAGTGGAGTTCCCATGAAGCCCTCAGTATTGCCTCTGACTGAATAGCCTCGGGTGCCGCTCCGGACCTGGATACCGATTATTGTGATTAGGGGAGGCTGGTGAGGGGAACCCTAAGCTCTGTGCCCACTTCTGGTCAGGGGATGAATCGGATATCACTGAAACACGTGGAGAGAGAGGTGGAGAGCAGTAGCCCCGGAGTCAATGGTACAATTTCCCAAAGAAGAGAGACTGGAAATGGATCTGTTGATCTGGGTTATGCAGAGTTCACAACTGGCTGTGCTTAGTGATGTGTCAAAGTCAACTTGAAGGCTGCTCTTATACCCCCTGGTCTAGCCCTGGCTGACGGAGAGCCTGTGATCCATGACTTTGAATGGCAGATAGATACGGGGCTCTGAAGGGATCAGAAGATACTCTGAGACAACTGCACAGGCCAAGGGTAGGGGCTGTAACTCTCAACATGATGTTTAATCATAAATCCTGCCCTGGGAACCCAATCACAAGCTTATCAACTGGGAGCCAGGAGATGTGGGAATGTTACAAGAGGTTAGAGTAGAAAAGGTGACAGATTTCTTTCACCGGATATCAGAAAGCCCACAGCTGGGTCACTGCATTTATTTCTGGATCTACACTTTAAAAACCATCGAGACAAGTCAGCACGCTTCAGGAGAATCTCGGTGAATGACAGTGCCAATTTAAACCTTGTTACATAAGATCTAGTGGAAAGAATTGGACTGTTTACCTTGGAGAACAGAGGCTCGGGGGTACATGATCAGCGTTAGCAAACAGCCGAAGGGCGGTCTCCTGAAAGAGAGATTAGGAGACCTTGGACAGTCCTGAATCTGTGGAAGGACATGGCTGGGGGCCAGGCGTCAAGCTCATCATAAAGAGCACCATTCTGTTGAGGGCTGGAGTGAGCTGCCCCAGGAGGTGGTAAGATTTTCGCCATCCGGGGTGTGCTGGCAGAGGGGCGGAAGGTTGGGAGGGAGTGAAGCATCCAGGGTTCTTGAACAGGATGACCCGTCTTGACTCTGAGATCCTGAGACTGTAGAAGAGGCTGAGTATTTACCAGGAGATCAAAGCCAGGTCCCTGACGTTCCTGCCAGTGCTGCAGACCTCAGCGCACCTTCCGAAAGGGCCCTGGGCAGACGTTCTTTCTGTAGTGAAACACACAGTGCTGATAGCCATATTTTGTCACCATTGAGCTTTCTGTTTTAAGGTAACTTGGAGCCATAAATAAGGGGTAGGGCTGCTGTCTGAATTCATAGAAATGCTGCTTTTGTGGAGGTGGGTTTATTTGTTTTTCAAGGCTTTATTTTGGAGGGCTCTACGGAGAACAGAGTCTAGATGGGGGTGCCCTCAGTATAAAGTTTTGGGGGTCGAGTACACGCAGCAGCATGACATAATGAGCACTCTGGGGGGTCAGCCATGGGGTTCTAATTTCAGCCACAGTCACACAAGGGTTTGGGAGCACAGTCTCCACTTTCGTCCCCTCCTACATGAAATGACCTTGTGAAAATGAAGTCCACCCTCTAGGGCACTGTCTTTCTGCAGGCTTATGATTCTAAACCTCTGAAGTGAATGAGTTGGAAACGAGCCTCTTCTCCAGTTAATGGGACACGTGACAGGAAGAGCAGTAGACGCACTGTGACTTTTTTCCCGAGTGTGGACCCGTGTGAGCATCATGGGGATGCATGAATCTTCTCAGTGTGAGACAGAACACCTGTCCTGACAGCTAGGTTTGCCAGGTGTTAGTGTCCACCCCTGAGAGTGATGAGACCTTCCTTCCCGAGCTGTTTGTCAAGTTGCATGACTCCTGGTTCCTTAACCGGGACACTAACCCAGGGGTGTTTGGCTCGTCCTCAACCCCCACATTCCTGTGCCCTGTTTCTTACTTCATTCCTTCCCAAATGCACCTTTCTTCCCCCACCATCTCAGTTAACATTCCGCTTGGGGCTCCTTACTCACCATGTCATCTTATCCCATCACTTGGCTGCCACTTCCCGCTGAGTCTGCTCTTGGCCTCTTGCAGAAGCATCTTTTGGCACCTCATTTTTGCCACCACTGCCCGCCCTGCTCAGTCCTAGATCCTGAGTGCCTGGACGAGGCAGCAGCCTGCTCCCCCACACCCCTTCTCCACCTCCAGAGAGCAGCCAGAGCTCTGCTAAGTCCCAGCACCCTCACAGTCTCCGTTCAGCCCACTGGGCTTGCACACCCAGGTGTCTAGTCGCCTCAGTCCTGCTCCGGGGACCATTGCTCTTGCACCCATCCCAACCCCTTCTTCGCCTTGCTGACTTGGATCCTGTGGCACATGGTTGCCCCCACCCTGAGCTGGGCGGGCCTCCTCTGCTACACGCCCCAGAGGTCCTTCTATGTGCCCCTCCTTGGTCCTTGGGACACCGTGTTCCCTTGTCTTTATAATCGCCGGTCTTCATGGCTAACGACAAGCATCAGGCGGCAGGAGTGATTCCTCCGCTGTTCCTTCTTCCATCTCTAGCACCTGCTCCAGTGCCAGGAGAGGACTCTGTCCCCGAGTGTTTGGTGAATGACTGAATGAGCCAATCAGTGTGCCCTCACCTGGCTTGGAGTGCCCGCAGCTCTCATCACCACCTCCTGGACGAACTCTGAACCCTGAAGCTGTGGCTTTGGGGCCTTTCCCCCATTAGCTTGTCTTTTCTGTCTTCTCTCGGATGAGCGTCTCCTTGAGCTCCCTGCAAATACCTCTACATTCCTGCTTCTTAAGGGCCACCTTGCCCAGTCACACAGTTCTCACTGACCTTCACGTGGGGTCCCATGTGGACATTTCAGTGAGAGCCCTCCCTCACTGGGTAGACTTTGCTTTTTGGTGTCTTTCTAGCCACTTGCCTGGGAGTTTCTTGAGACAAGGACCGTCTTACTCACCTGGACACTCCCGTGTCCAGCAGCCCTGTGCTGGCAGGAAAGGGCCCTGGGTGGTGCGGGAGGCAGATGCCCCTGCTTGATGGCTGCCCCTGGCACTGAGCTCCGTGGCTTGGAGACCTCCAGATGTGCCTCCTTCGGCTTGTGAGGTTAATTCTGGAACTTGAGTCATTCTGCTCAAACACATCTCTGCTGGAATTGAAATCA